AATAAGTGGAGCATGGAGGTTTTCTGGAGCAGTGGCACTACTGTGCATGATACTAAAATAATGGATCCATGGCATCATACATTTGCCCAAACCCATAGAATGTCCAAAACCAAGAGTGAACCCTAATGTAAACTGTGGATTTGGAGTAATAATGGTGTGATAATGTTGACTCTCCAAGTGTAATAAATGCACCCTCTGGTGGGGACACTGATGGTGGAGGAGGCTGTGCCTGTGTGGGGGCAGAGGGCATATGCGACAACTGTGCATTTTCTGCTCAACTTTGCCATAACCCTAAAATTGCCCTAAAAACTAGTATCTAAAGATAAAATGGTTCAGTAGAGGGCTAGAGAATAGATACATGGATATGTGACAAAACAGGAATGTAAACTGTTAATCATAAAGTTAAGTGGTGGAAATGTGGGCTTTCACTGAAAAAAATCTTTAAATTCTTCTGTAGGTTTGAAATTTTTCATAATAAAATCCTGTGGAAAAATAAATGTTGATATCATGAGTTTCCGCCATCCAGGACATCCATGACATCCAGGTGGCAGAATCTGGAGCTCTGCATAGAAGTTGGCTCGGAGAAAAAATTTAGAAAGTGGCCAGCATGCATTTCATAGGATGCAAATTCAAATTTCTGCAGGAGCCCGGTGGTTAAGGACGGTGCTGACCTGGTCCTGACTCAGGCATCCAGACATGGCGGCCCCTCCTCAGCTCCACTGGCGGCAATGGGGAGATGCTGGCCCGGTTTTCTCTGGTATGCTAATATTTACAAGAAAAGTGAAAAATCTGAATCTTAAACCTTTTGCTTCATAAATATTGGTAACATTTAAATATTAGTTTTAAAAAACGGACTATGTCTGAAGGCATTCTTGGGAGTGGTCTTTGGGGTTGGCAAGCCTCTTTCCTTACAAAATCTGCAGGGATGATCGCCCCACCAGCCACTTGGCTGAGAGATGCCTGGGTCCCACCAGCCCCTCACTCAGGAGAGCTGCCTGGGTCCAACAGGTCACTCACTCAGGAGAATTGCCCGGGTCTCACTGGCCACTCAGGAGAGCTGCCGAGTCACATACTGTTTTCTGACAGCATTGAACCCACTCTCCAGGGCATCCAGCTGTTTACAGAGTTGCTGGAAGATACACCATTTTAAATGGATTCTTCATCCCACGGGCAGTCATTACTAGGATGTAATATTGTGGGATTCCTCTTTCCTGGCATATCTGGAAACCTTTGAAATACAGAACATAACCACCAACTAGAAAATTACCAGGAAATACATACTGCTTCCCAAATAGTTCAAACACTGAGTGAGTTCCTTGCAGTGGATACTGATGATTCCTAGGCAGTCTCTAATGCAGGTGATTCCTAGACAGTCTCTAAGCCCAAGCGACTCCCCTGGGCAGTCTCTACCCGCAGGCGACTCTCCTGGGCAGTCTCTACCCGCAGGCGACTCCCCTGGCAGTCTCTAACCGCAGGCGACTTCCGAGCAGTCTCTACTGCAGGTGACTCCTGGGCAGTCTCTACTGCAGGCCTGCTGTGCCACCATGTCAGCATTTCACCCTTTTCTGAAGTAGCCATGCAAGAACTGGAGAGGTCTTCAGGAACTGCTGGAGGGGCCTAGCCAAGGAAGGGTGACAGTGTGGTCCTCCCTTGTTCAGAGTGTGCTCAAGTCCACACATGACTTCAAAAGATGCTGCAAAACCATGGACTGAAGCTAAAACTAACAACGCAAGCCCAAGACTTCAGCCAAAAATGAAAAGAAAGAAAGAAATGGAAGCACAATGCTGCTTCAGTCTATTTTAGTTTGGGCTAGGAAAATCATTCATCAATCCCTCAAGACATTTTATCTGTGGGCAAGAAAATAACACCTTTCATAAACAAACTCATTTACAAGGAAAGAAGTGTAAAGCCAGAGGGTGGAAGCATTGTTAAATGATTCCGTTGCTGAGGGCAGCATGTGACCTGGGATAGACACAGCAGCAGAAAGGCAGGAAACAGAAGAAAATCTGTTGTGGCTGGGAGGAGAGGTTTGCTCAGAGTCTTGGCATCAGGACACCCTGGCCTCGTGGAAAGGTGTCAAGCCCTGCACCACCCAGCACCGTTCTCTTTTTTCAAATGGGCTAGAAAAGGGAAGCCTGACAGGAGCAGTCTCTGGGCACCCATGGCTGTATCTGAAGGCACTGAATTAGCACAATCATCCTGTGCATTTTCCAAACAGAGGCAGATTTCAACCACTCCAGATTATGATGTTCTAAATTTAAGTTCAATTTTATATTTGAAAAATACACATTCCATTCTTGAGAAAAAAGAAGGTAACTGTATGTAAACATAACTGTGCAATGTTTCCTAAAGGGCTATGAAATATGGTTTCATTCTGGTAAAGATGACTTTTATGTTTTTGTGACTTTACTCTTCCTAATAAAATGTTTTCACTTAAAAACAGCCACAATAACGACAAACAAAAATAAAAACCACAATGTGTCACCTATTTTAAAAGTTCTCATCTATACAGTTAGATACTATGGAAATATAATTTTCTCACTTCTATTTAAATCAAAGACCACAGCTTCCCACCTTAAGTGAAAACAGAAGAACAAAGTAAACTCAAAAGTAATGAGAAGAAAGGAAATAATAAAAATCAGAGCAGAAAACAAGAAAATACCAAATGAAATAGAAAAATCAATGAACCAAAATCTTGTTCATTAAAAGTATCAATAAAATTGATAGACCTTCAGCCAGATTAATCAGAAAAGACAGGAAAGGAAGACATAGTTACCAATATCAGGAATGAGAGAGGTGACATTATTACAGATTCCACAGATATTAAAAGATGAGAAGTGAATAATGTGAACAACTTTATGACAAACTCAATAGCTTAGATGAAATGAAGGAATTCCTTGAAAAATTTAAGCTATCAATGTTTAACTCAAGTAGAAAATGATAACTTGAATTATCCTCATATCGAATATATTTAACTTACAGTTTAAAACCTTTTCACAAAGAAAATTCCATATCCATATTGCTTCGCTCATGAACTCTACCAAACATTTGAGGTAAAAATAATACCAATTCCACATAAACTTTTTCAGAAAATTGAGGAATAGAGAAATCTTTCCAATTCTATGAGGCCTGCATTACACTGATACTAAAATCAGACAGACACTTCAGAAGAAAAGAAAACTGCAGCCCAGTCTCTCATTAACATAGACACAAAAATCCTTAACAAAATAATTGTAAATCAAATGCAGCAATATAAAAAAAGAATAGTACAGTATGACAAAACTGGGCTTATCTTCAAAAACGCAAGGTTGGTTTAACATTCATAAATCCATTAATATAAATCATCATATTAACAAAAATATGGCTACCTCAATAAGCACCAAAAAAATTGGAAAATAAAATCCTGCATGCATTTCTGATAATTCTTCAGCAACCAATAAATGGAACTCCTCCAATTTGATGAAGAACATCTGTCAAAAACATAAGCTAATATCCTAATTAATGGTGAAATACTGAGTGCCTTCTCTTTCAGATCAGGAACAAGATGGAGTTCACCTTCTCTACTTTGGTCCCACATTGTATTAAAGGTTCTCACCATCACAATACATCAAAGTAAAAAAATAAACCAAATGCTATTATCCCAAGGTAGAAAATCTGACAGAATCTATTCTAAAAGTGATTATAAGTAACTGGTAAAAATTTTTTAAACTGCAGGATACAGATAAATGCACGCGTTTCCTCTGTTTTTGTCCTGGAAACCATTTCTCTCTCACTATTGCAGGATAATTCTCTAGATGCAAAATTCTTTACTGATGGTTTTTCTTTCAGACTTTAAACATTTCACTCCATTCTCTTCTTAGTTGCATGGTTCCTGATGTCTGATGTCATTATTAATATTGTTCCTCCACACATAAAGTGCTTTTTCCCTAACTCCTTTCAAGGTCCTCTTTTTGTCTTTGGTTTTCTGCAGTTTGAATATAACATGCCTAAGTGTTGACCAAGTCTCTTGGTACTTATCCACTTGGTATGTATTCCTTAAGCTTCCTTGATTTGTAGTCTTGTTTTTCCTATTAATTTTGGAACGTTTTCAGCTACTACTTTACAACTTGCTCCTCATCCTTTCTTGCTCCTCCTGGTATTCCCAAACATGCATATTACATCTTTTGTAATTGTGCCACAAATCTTTGATACCATTCTGCCTTTTTCATTCTTTTTTTTACTTTGCGCTTCGAGTGGTTTCTATTGACCTGAATTGAAGTTCACTGATGCTTTTCTCAGCCATGCGTAGTCTGCTAAAAGCCAGTTAAAGGCATTCTCCATTTCTGTTACAGTGCTATTTATTTCTTTTTATTCTTAGAATTTCCATTTCTCTACCTACATTACCCAACTGTTCTTGCCCATTGTTCACTTTTCCCACTTGAGCCCTTAGCATACGCATCATGGTTGTTTTTAAATTCGTGTCTGCCAATTCCAAAGTCTCTGCCATATCTGAGTCTGGTCTGATGCTTTGTCTCTTCAGATCGTGTTTTGACCTTTGGTGTACCTTCTCATCATCAACTGAAAGCTAAACACGGCATACTGAGCAGAAGGCACTGAGGTAAGCAGGCTTTTGGTGTGAGGTTTTAGCCTCTGTCTAGGAGGGAGGCTGGGCTCATTGTCTGCTGCAGCTGCAGGAATCAGAGGCTTCAATATCCTCCGGTGTCTTTGCTTTTGTCTCCCCTATTGTCTTGGATTTCCCTTGAAATTTCTTCTTAAGTTGAGTCGGAGCTCTGGCCCCCTTGGCTGTCCTTATTCAGGAGCTCTGTGGTTGTGAGGCCAGGTGGAAGAGGAGTAGGGAGGAAAGGGGAGAGGAAGGGAGGGGACTGTGGTGCCATGAATTGGTCTCATGTTTTCAGGGGGCCTGCACACTGTGGCTGTAACCTCCACAAGTGATTCTCAAGGTACTGCCCCTGAGACAGGAAGGCTGAGAGGCTGGAGCTGAGTGATTTCTCCCAAGTCAGTCGTGCTGGTGAAGGCCTTGCCCTTGCAGAGAGGGGTCTGTAGTGAGAAAGCTCTGGCTGGCTTCACGGTCACCTTCCCTCCCCTCACCACACTGGAGGGGATCTTTCTCCCATCTTCACCATGGGAACTTGGTGGTGCTCCTGGAAGTAGAACCCATGAAATTGAGGCAACCAGCAGGCCAGACATCTGGGAGCCTTCAGTCCACAGTCAGCTCCAGCCTCCATCAATGCCTCCATGGCCTCATTTGGGGCCCCTAGCCATTTCAGTCTCCAGCAGCTGCTCTTCCAGAAGCCATCATTCCCTGTATCTGCCTGTTTCTCCAGTTTTGAGGTCAGCAGTTTGCCCTATGACCGCAACTCTCTGCTGTGATCTAAGAAAAATCACTGTTTTCTGTTTTTCGCCTTTTTATGGTGAGGGCGGGAGAGACTACTTCCAAGCTCTTTTACATGTTGGAATGGAAACGAGAGGTCTCCAGAACAGCCACATTGGAAAATGGTATGGCAGGTTCTCGGAGTTAAAAATTATCATTTACAGAAATTCACCCAGGAGCATGAAAATATGTCAACACAGAGACTTGTGCACAAGTGTGCATTATCAGCTTTATTTGAAATGGCCAAAAACTGGAAACAATCTGAATGTCCATCAGCAGGTAAACAGATAAATGTGGTATGTCCACACAAAATCCTACTCAGCAATGAGAACAAATATATTGGTACATACAATAAAATTAATCTTTCAAAATAATCTTTCTGAGTGAAAGAAACCAAAATATACATACCATCTAATTGCATTTATATAAAATTATAGAAAATGAGAATTAATCCCTAGTGACAGAAGGTAAACCAGTGTTTCCCCAAGGCTGGAGTAGGGGTAAGGAGGGGCAGTATGAGGAACATGGAGGGGCCCAAGCGACTTCCTCGGGGGATTGTGCATGATTTCGGTTGTGGGGAAGATTTCATGATAAATGCCTGTCAAAGGAAATCACGTTTTATACCTTAAATATGTCTGGTGTGTCTCTTAAACCAGAATAAAGCTGTTTCAAAAGAGAGGAAAACTAAAATTAGCTCCTTCTGACAGGAAGTGGTTAGGACATATACAATTAATTTTATTACTGAAAAAGGAGGAAAATAAAGTTTATCACTAGAACATTTTTATATTATGGAGCTAGAAAACTCTATAATACTTCAGGAGCTAGAAAACTTTTGTAATACATATGCGTTACAGAAAATGATTACATGTTTAGCCAATATTCTAGAACTTATCCACCTATGCAATGAAATGCTGTTTTCCCAAAACACAGACCAAGAATAAAAATTCTTATTCCAATATGTGGCCATTGCTCAATAACCATTTTTGGACTGTCTCATGGATTTGAAATGATTTTCAGTCCCAGTTTATGAGCACCATTAGAAAACTACTTTTATTATTTTATGCTCAAACCTGGCAAATGAAATCCTTATTACATTTCCTTCTTTAAAGCTGGGATTTCCAAAATGTATTTGAAAGCAGACCAGTTTTGACACAGTGTAACTCATTGCCTTTCAACAACTTCCTTAGCGACCATTTTCTGAAGAACATTATCTTGGAGCAAAATTGGCTTTGAGTTTCCTCCTATGAAATGTGCACAATGCCTGAAAATCAGACAGTATAGAATAATAAAACTACATGTTTGTGAATGGAAAAAGTACTAAGATGTGAAGCAAATAAAATATGGCCCCTCAATGATGAGTTTAAAACTGATGCTGTCAAAAAATATTGGTATAAATCCCCCCACCTTAGCGGCATTCGCTTTATCCATCTTTGGAATAACACATGCTTTCTCTTTAGAATATCTTATATTACTCTTTTAATTATATAATATTAGGTACATTGAAGAAATAGTATTAAAAAATTCCTTCAAATTATAAAGTATTATAAAGTGTGAATACTCAGATTGCTTGAGTCCCCAGGAGTTCAAGACCAGCCTGGGCAGCACAGCAAAACCCTGTCTCTACAAAAACAAACAAAAATTAGCCAGGTATGGTGGCACACATCTGTGGTCCTAGCAACTAGGAAGGCTGATATGGGAGGATCGATTGAGCCCAGGAGATCGAGGCTTCAGTGAGCTGTGACCGGGTCAGTGCATTCCAGCCTGGGTGACAGAGTGAGACACTATCTCCAAAAAAATAAAAAAATAAAAAACCACATCTGACTTAAGAACCAAACACTGCCAATTCTCCACTCTTCCCAATCCCACCCTCTGACCCCAAAATATGTGAACACAGATTAGAGAGATGAACAGGCAGACGTGGTTTGGTTTTGCTTGTTTTTGTACTTTTTTTTTTTTTTGAGACGGAGTTTCGCTCTTGTTACCCAGGCTTGGAGTGCAATGGCGCGATCTCGGCTCACTGCAACCTCCACCTCCTGGGTTCAGGCAATTCTCCTGCCTCAGCCTCCTGAGTAGCTGGGATTACAGGCACGCACCACCATGCCCAGCTAATTTTTTGTAGTTTTAGTAGAGACAGGGATTCACAATGTTGACCAGGATGGTCTCAATCTCTTGACCTCGTGATCCACCCGCCTCGGCCTCCCAAAGTGCTGGGATTACAGGCTTGAGCCACCGCGCCCGGCCTGTTTTTGTACTTTATGAAAACGGTTTCATATGCCCGTGGTCTTCAGTGCCTATGCTTTCATTCCACATTATGTTCCTGAGATCAAGGGTTGCGTACAGCATGCTGCTCTCCAATTTTACCGCTCTGTGCTATTTCTCTGTGTAAATTTAACAATTTATCTACCCCTGTATGTTTGGGTTGTTTCTAGTTTGGTGCTGTCACCCTGCACAGTCCTTTGGCACATGTGGGGACTTTAGAAGAGTAGTTCTCAAACTGGACAGTAGAATTCCGTGTGAGAGCACGTTTATTATAAAAGGCAGTTCACCCTTCCCCAGATATTCCGAGTCAGTAGCTTCTGGAGACCCAGAAGTCTCCATTTTAACAAACACTCAAGACAATTCTAATACAAATGCTCTAGACATTGCAGCGTAATCAACCATGTTCTAAACAAATACCTAGTGTGCTGGACACGGATGTATGCACACAGCCAGACTGTTTCCAAGATGTTTCCAAAATTGCTATACTACTTTAGACCCCAACCAACAAGGTGCAGAGTTCTAGTAGTCTATATATGTTCCACAGATTTTCCCTTCAATCTAATGACTGTGAAATGGTATTTCATTTTGGCCTTAATTTTCATATTCCTCATGTCTATATTTTGGTATTGGCTCTTATTTTCTCTTTTGTGATATACCTATTCAGGTCTGCTGTTCAATTTCCAATTATCCTATGGACATATAAAATTTTGTTTGCTATCCTGGATAGTAGTCCTCTGTGAATTATATATGTTGCAACTACCACTTGTGGTTTATCACTTCACCCTAAAGGTGTCTTATAATGAACAGAACCTTTTAATTTTTGAATTCATCCACCTTTTCTAGTATGCCTAATGCATTTTTTTTTTTTTTTAGATGGAGTCTTGCTCTGTCGCCCAGGCTGGAGTGCAGTGGCGTGTTCTTGGCTCACTGCAACCTCCGTTTCCTGGGTTCAAGCGATTCTCCTGCCTCAGTCTCGTGAGTAGCTGGGACTACAGGTGTGTGCCATCACACCTGGCTAATTTTGGTATTTTTAGTAGAGATGGGGTTTCACCATGTTGACCAGGCTGGTCTCGAACTCCTGACCTCAGGCAATCCGCCCACCTCAGCCTCCCAAAGTGCTGGGATCACAGGAGTGAGCCACCTTGCCTGGCCTGCTTAATGCATTTTTAAAGAGCTGTTTAATAAACCTAATATTATTTTAAAAATTTAATTTTGATGATTCTCCTTTAAAATTTCTTTTAACAGTTAATGCTGGAATTAATTTTTGTTTGGTGTGAGGTAGGGATCCAAATTGATTATTTAACTTCATGTGCATAACAAACAGTACTAGAACAATTAATTAAATCGGTCACTGCATTATGGTTCTCCAGAAAAACAGAACCAATAGGATGTATACAGATACACTAAGACTTATGATAAGGGATTGGCTCATGCAGTTATGGAGGCTGAGAAGTCCTGCTGTCTGTCATCCACAAACCACAGGCCCAAGAGAGCTGGTGTTTTTGTTGCAGGTCAAGCCCGAAGGCCTGAGACCCTCCCACCCCCAATCAATCATGCCTGGACAAGGTGTCACGTGCTAAGGCATGACCACTCCGATAGCATCCACATGGTGAGAGGCAGACATGGTGCCCAGGTGAGAGAGAGGCAGAGTCTGTGGCGTGGTGGGGGTAAGATGCTTATCAGCACAAGCGACAGATGAACTTAGCTAAGATAATAATGTCTCTAAGCTGTGACTGACATTTCCTAACCTATCATCAACCTTTTAAGGTGAAAATCCTGATCATATATTTTAGGCTGTCGGTGCATGAAACATCTTGAGTACATTAAGAAATGGCTGCACAGTCAATACCTTTCCTAGATGTTTTCTGAACTTTCGAATGAAGAACACTTCTTTCCAGCAAGAACTGCCTGTTCTAACCCCGAGACATATCTCAATCCATCCTCTTTCTCCATCCTACTGCCACCAACATAGCCCGGCAGCTAACATCCTTCACCTGGATGACTGGGCAGTCTCCCCACTTCTGATCTTCACCCTCTCAGGTGCAGACGATGAAAGCTCTTCCCCAGAGCTTCCTAGTGAGACAGTGCCTACGTGTCATCCCAGCTCCCCTACCCAGGCCACCACCTTTCACCTGCACTCTGGTCACACTGTGACCTCAGCACCTGAAGTGTGCCAAGCTCACCCAGCTTTTGCATATGGCGCTCTGCTCACTGGGAACTCTCCCTGCCACTTCCTGGTGCCTTGACTCACCTCAGAGAAGCCTCCTTGACCAGATACCCAAGGTAGCTCCTCACTATTCTCCACTCAGCGCACAAACCAAGAGGCCCCAGGAAACTCTTGGTTGGCTTCCACACAGAGCTCCTGCAGCTCCAAAGACCTGCTTAGTTCATTTTCATTTTGGCCAAAAGCTGCTTAATAAAAGATATTCTACTAAAATTAATTTAAAATTACACAAGACTTTTGGCCAGGCGTGGTGGCTCAAGCCTGTAATTCTAGCACTTTGGGAGGCCAAGGCAAGCAATCAGCCTAGGTAACACAGTGAGGCCCCGTCTCAAAAAAAAAAAAAAAAATTTAATTAAAAAAAAATCATACAAGACTTTTAGCTAATTTCATTTTCAGCTTCTTCCCACTGTAATATAAATTGCATATGTTGCATATAATAAATTCAGGTGTTCCCAAATTTTAGCATAATTTTTTTAAATTCTAAGTTATTAAGGAAAAACAGATAGCAACCCTACAGCTAGTAAGGGAGACCAGCGTCCTGGCGTTTCGGTGAAATCACAGCAATGTGTAAGCATTTCCTTCTGAATTCTTGATACTAATAAAGCATGAATTTTAAATTCACTGAAGATGTAACACTATGAAATTTAGACAATAATCACAGGCTATCTAAGGAGGAAGATTGAGAAAGTTAAGTAACCAGTGGAGAAATGGTCTGCCTTTCTGGGTGAAGATGCTCCCAGCACCAACACAGCTTAGGCAGTGGCCTTGCCAGTGTGAAGGAGCCACTGTCTGCACAAGCAAGAACCCTCCCAGACTCTCCACCTGCTGACACCGTAGCAGCCTCAGCCTCAGCCACAGCTCGGGCCATGGCCACAGCCACAGCCATGTCCTCAGCCACCACCAAGGCCCCAGCCCCAGCCCCAGTCCCAGCCCTGGTGTCAGCCTCAGCCACAGCCTCAGACTAGGCCACCACCATAGCCCCAGTCCCAACGCCAGCCTCAGCCTCAGCGACAGCCACAGCCACAGCCACAGCCACAGCACCGGCCCTGGTCTCGGCCTTGGCTTCAGCTTTAGTCATGGCCTCAACCACAGCCTCAGCGCTTGGGTCGGACACGGCCATGTACCAGGAGCCCCTGCCAATCTGCTTTGCATTCTCCCACAGAAAGTGGCACCTACTTTCTGTAACTGTTTTTTTTTTTTTTTTTTTTTTTTTTTTTTTTATATTTTAAATTTTTTTTTTTTTTTTTTTTTTTTTTTTTTCTTTCAAACAAGCTTACTGCAATGAGAACAGTATGAGCATTTTATTATACTGAGGAACTTTAGCAAAAATTATATGAGATGGTTAATCCTTTTAGAAGTTGTTGAGGTCCTGATGGGGATGAAGAAGCATAATTATGTATTGTTTAATGTTAGCATAAGAGATGGATAGAAAACACAACTGATATTTTTAAGTCCAAAAATTTTTCGAATGACCAGTATTATATTTGTTCAACTTCTGGGTCATCTTGATGTTTATACAGTCATTCCCAATGTTTCACCAAAGCAAAACATGAAAAATGATAAAAATACTAAAATAAGAGACTCCCAATAACACAAAGCTTTTATAATAGTCATTATGGAACACAGACATTTTAATGAATTTCATATTGCAATGAAGACACTGAACACTTAGAGACAATTATATCGATAGAATAAAAACTGATTCCACAGAACACTTATAAATGCATACTTTCCTCCAAAGAAAGATGTTTTTCACAGATTTAAGTAACAAATGATTTACATAGGATTCTTCAGATTCCAAAATATGTACAGAATTTTTGTCTCTACAGAAACTGATGAGCAGTGGTTGAAAAAGAGAGTTGCTTTGCCCAACATGGCTCTTATGAAATTCTGTATTGATACACACTTTATAGTAACCACACATTTTCCATCTATTATTAAATGAAATTCTGGACACATCAGCATGAAGAACAAAACTGTTCCCATTTCCAAATACTGTTTCAGACGACATCACATGTGGCTGACGGCATGACCTAATTTAGCCACACATACGTACACATGTGCACATGCGCGTGCATGCGCACACGCACACACACCATCCCCATCTTGTCTGTGACTCCTGATTAACACACTGCAGCAGCAGTGATGAGTTCACGTTAGAAGATGACACAGCGGCAAATAGCAAGGCGCCTCCGCTCCCAAGAGCTCTCCCTCAGCACCACAGGGCTGCGTCCTGAGGATGTGCAAGAGGAGCCGTTTCTGAGGTCCCTCCAGTTTGCTGGAGAAGGTGAGCAGGTATGGCAGTGAAGGTCACCAGCATGCCTGGATCTCAATGGCCACTCCGAACATGGATTTTTAAAAGCTTCAAAAATGTTTTAATCTGGTTCTTAAGTTTGACTTAGCTATTTGCAGCCATCTTTCAATGTTCCTAACCATCATCTTAAGACACCCAGACTTTCAAATTAAACTCCGAGGAACCCAAGCCGGCACTGTGCAGTGGCCCCAGAAGCCGCCCTGGGCTCAGGCCTTTGCATGTGCAGTGTGGGAGGCTCTGGCAATCGGACCTCTGGCCATGAGAAAAAGCAGGGACCAGCAACATCTGGACACAGCACAGCTGTGCATTAGGCAAGTTCACTCAGGACAGCAGGAGCCAAAACCTGAGATTCTCATCAACCGGAGGGACCAGGAGGACTCTGGACAGTGGACTCTCTGAACAGTGCAGTCAAGAAACAACGTCAGACAAAAACACAACACGTTTTTTATCTTTAACATAAAAACGACTGAAATATTTGCTGTTTGTCCCTTAGCCACATCAAATCCAAATGAGGTCACTGTCGGTTATTCTTGGGCCCCAGGCTGTCAGTCATTTCAGAATCATTCTGGGGATTTAGATCTGAAGCTCGTAGGACCAGCCCCTGAAGACCCAAGTAAGGAGGTGCCTCTCACCCTTGGTGAGCTGCACAGAAGGACAGGTCTGAAAGTCCCACGTCCTACTGCACCTGCATCTACCAGTCCTCAGATGGGTTCCCTCCCACATCACCGTAAAACGGGGCAAGACACAAAGACCTGGGGTGTCACACGACAACTGTAAAGATCACTTTCCTGTGTCTCTCCAAGTGGTAAGCCTCCAGGTGGACGTATTGAAAGGACTGAAAATACGAGGCAGGAACTGAGAGCCTCTTCATCAAAACCGTAACTCAGCAAGAAACACTAACATACAGATACCAGGTGAGCAGTAATTCCCAAGAAGGCAAGAACAGCAGGCTCCCTCAGCAGGAATGGGACTGGCACTGAAAGGCGTCCCCCTGTGGGAGCTGGAAGTGTCCCATCACAGGGCCTGCTGGCTGCGGCCGTCAGCGTGTGCGCTTAAGTGGAGAGCCTACACCTTCAGGACATGTCGGCGTGACTGTCTTTCCTGCCTTCTGAACTGAACTCGGTATTCCAGCTATAAACCAAAGTGCTCCAGTCAGGCACCAGTGAGACCCAAAGTTTCCCAGAGACCCGTCTCTGAGGTAGTGTTGTTGGCTCTCAAACACCACCATGGGAGTGAGCCCGTTCGGAAGCACATGACTGAGGTGCGGAGAATTCACTGGGCTCTGTGTGCAGGCAGCAGGGTCTCTGATCAAGGTCAAGTCACATTCCATGGACAAGTCATTTGAAACATCTAAAAACTGTTTATAACCACGGCTATAAACTAAAGTGCTTTACATTCATTTTGCTTAATATTTGAAATCGGTGATAAGAATCCTATTTCAAAATTTGCTAGCATGAGACCTTGGGAGATTGAAATGATTTTCTACAAAAAAAGCAGAACCCTTTTCTTTCCTAAAGAAACTCCAAATGGTACAAGTCCAACATCCCATGCTTCTTTTTAACTTCTAAAATCCAGGTTACCTTTGCAGAACTGTAACAGAAATGACAGTGGAGGCGGACTACACAACAGCACGTGCTGAACCTCACAGAGAGGTAAACACAAATCCCGGCGTGATCCTGCTGGTCACCAGCCAGCATAGGCAGATACGCACAGTTACTCCACGGGACGCAGGACTGCCAACGCCGCCATGTAATACACAGGTTCACATTTAATTCACACAAATGTAATGCCCTACTGTTCACCTGTCCAACGTCAACAACTCACAACCATTTCATGTGCTACATGGGAGGTGAGCTTCGCCTCTATGGCCTAAAGGACCCAATACACATACACAAGACAAAAGTAAAAAATACGACCACACATGTCTCTGTACACTTCATGCAAGCTGGGCACTATGTGAAAAGAACACATACAAAGTACCCTTCCCAGGGTCAAACTCTCACAAAAATGGCTGACTAATATACAAAAGAGCCTGCACCCGTCAAAGGTCCGTGCTGGCAAACAGTGACACTAAGGACTGCCGGTGACCTTATTTTTCTTGCAGCAATGCAGGGATGTTGATGTTCCAACCAATGGCTTGCCGGTCAAACCCACAGGTGAACAGATTGCACACAGGGTGGTCTTCGCTCCACGCCGAGCAGCACACCATTCTCCTGTGGCCCTAGTGACATCAAACAAACCAAGATCAGTGCATTATTCCTGACAGTAAGATGTATAAGACCTCAGCCAAATGAATAACCCCATCACTCAAAGTAAGTACGTTAAACGACACGGTGCAAAGGATCAGTCCCCAAGAGCCAAGACCACCAAGCAGGGCAGAGCCACCGAACGTGCAGCCAGCCCAGGGCGAGTGAGGCCGGGGCACCAGTGAGTTCAAGGTTGGTAGGACTTGCCCCAAAAGCACTGTATGACTCCTTCTTCAAGAAAATGAGTAAGATTCCAGTCAGACAAAACAAATAAATGATCAGTGTGAAATTTTTGAATACTTCAAATTCCATTTTAACAAATAATTGGCTTCAGTAATAAAAGAACTAGAAAAATACATTTGATGTCATATAAAACAAGGATAAATAAATGGCCTTTTAGGTAGATTCCTGCCATCTTCAGGAATTCCAGTTAAATATCAGCATGTTGGAAAAGTTACTGCAAAATATTTAACAGAGCTTACAGCATATCACTGTGTATGTACGTAGCAGGCGCAGGCTCTTAGACAACACTTGGAATATCTGTGAGCAATGCCTTAGGACCCATCTGCATTTTCTAAATTACACAATAGCTCTCATGGGTTGCTATTACAGCATAAAGTGCAAGAGTCAGTATTAAGTAAAGCTACAGATTAAGAAACACTCAAAGAATGGCGTAACATTTTCCTGCAAAATAGTCACATATAAATATCCTATTTATGCATTTGGAGAGAGAATCACAATAGGTCACAAAAATGAAACAACTGTTAAGAAAGACCACATAACAAAAGATTACAAAAGGCGCAAGAAAGGAAGCAGCAATGCATCCATTAACTGGCGGTAAAACCAAGGCTGTGGGCAAGAGCTCTTTAAGGCGAAACTCACGGCATTCACTGCAGAAGTGCGAAGGACAAAGAGCTTCCAGGAGAGAGTCAGCCAGCACTTTCGCCTCAGGCAGAGCTCTCACGGGATTTTTATCTCATGCGCCCACAGCATCACCACCCAGGAAGCAGACACACCTCGAAGATGTCCCATGCCACTGTGGCTGCCCCAGTGCACATGATGTGCTCCAGGACACTCAGCACGGGGCCACGTGGGCCTCTACTTCACAGGGACCCTTGCGCCCCAGGAGCCTCCATGTCACAGGGACCCTCGCACCCCAGGAGCCTCCATGTCACAGGGACCCTCGCGCCCTGGGAGCCTCCACTTCACAGGGACCCTTGCACCACAGGAGCCTCCACTTCACAGGGACCCTTGCACCGCAGGAGCCTCCACTTCACAGGGACCCTCACGCACCAGGAGCCTCCACAGGGTTCTGGGACACTGAAAACCACATTTTTCTGAAGAGGTGTTACAAGTTCTAAATAAAGTTAAGTCACATTTATTAATCTTAAAAATAAATCTATTTCACATACCACTTTAGGAGGGAATAAACCCAGGCACAGAATCCTACAATGCCAACAAAGTTGAATGTTCACAGATAACTGAAAATAAAACTGTCTACATGGAATTAGGATCACAAAGAACCACTTAGAATTCCGTTTTTCTGAGGGAAATACTCTCAAAGTAATACAGTCCTACTCATTCTCATGAATTTGTGCTTCAAAATGCAAACTTTACATGCTGCACAGCAATTTTACAATTCACATGGGCACCTTGAAAAGAGAACATTCTAGTGTGTTTAAGATGCAGCTTAGGGGACACATGATACTCAGCTGTTAACAAAACATGGAAAGATTCCCCAGGACAAGCAATTTATGGCTTTGTTAGGGTTGTGAGGTATATTTTTAGTTACTCTAATTTCATCAAATTTTTCTACTCCACTATTTTGATTTGTATCAAGGAGTAAAGACATCAATAGTCAACTCTGAACAGTGCATGCAGGCACCGTGAAGGGGAACTGAAAAGACACCCAGTCTCAGGGAATGTCACTTCCAGAAAGTCTGTGCCACGGGAAGAAAAGGTGCTGCCGCGCTGGGAGCCCCCACTTTTGCACCCGCCTCCCTGACTGCCCACCCTGCCTGCCGTTTCTGAGGTGCACACCCTGGACAGAGCAGCTGTGGCCCATGAGCCACAAGCCAGTGTCCACAGAATGAGCCACAGAGGCACTGAGGGGGCCACCCGTGCTGCCTGTGAGCGTGTGCAGCCCTGTGTACCCACAGGGGGTCTCAGGGAGCAAATCCACCTACTTACACAGGTATCAAGACAGTACTCCAACAAGATCAAAAGGAGACAGGAAAGAAGGAGACTCTGGGGCGGGGGGGGCTTCTGTTAAGCACAAGGCTGGGGAGATGCTGCCTCGACTGTGGGGGGTTTCTGTGCATCGCAGCTGCCCTGGTGACCTCCTGGGGGAGATCCAACAGTGACCACCACCCACACTATGGCCCAGGCCCAACTCAGAGCACGTCAGAATCACCAGGGAATTTGAACAGTGGCCCCCAGGTCCTCCAGGGCCTCTGCATCTGTGCAGGTGCCATAGTCTCGATTCTCTTTGTGCCTTCCAGGCAACCAGGACGGGTGGGCTGAACAGCACATACCGAGAAACTCCCTCCGCCATCTCCCGAACTTAGCAAGGAGCAACCCCTCACCTTACAAGAAACTAACATTTAAATAGATTTCTTCCTGTCTCAACAATCTGCCATAGAAATGGGTTTTTCTGGCTGGAGGTGGAGGAGGTCCCACCTTAAAGACCCCTCAGTCTACAACCAAGCCAGCTTCTGCCTGGCCACAGTGCCCATGCAGCCTCTCAACACTTCCAGTCTGTACAGCCTCAACTGCAGACATCTACGCCTGCTTCCCTACAGAGCAGCCACTAACACGTGCACGAAAGAGCTTGTTCCTCATGGCTGTGAAACAGAGGAAGTACATGTTTTATCTTATTTATTTTTAAACTTAAAAATGATCATGGTATTAAGAACACTGAAGTAAGTCTGGAATAACTTGGGTATACAACTCTACTTTTTCAACTCTAAACTTTATGAACTCTAAATATAGCTCAAGTATTTCCAATGAAAATTTAGCAGGCAAAGACTTAGTACGAAAATAAGAATGTAAAATATCTCTAATAATTTTATATTGATTACATGTTGAAATTATATTATTTTTGCATATTTGATTAAATAACGCTAACTCTATCGCTCAAGTTAATTTCTGTCATTTCTCTCTGTTAACACGGTTATTAGAAAATGTGAAATCAAATGTGCAGCTCACATTCCGTTTCTACTGGCAGCAATGGGCAGGCTGTGTAGCCCATCCTCCTCCACCATGCCGTGTGTGTGCGCAGTGGCTGTGCCATTACCTGTCGGCTGCTCCGGGGAAGTCGTGCCAGGCGCACTCCTGACATATCAAACAGTCTCACTTGTCGGTTGTCATGGGGGAGGGCTATGATTTTTTGGCCAACACATACGTTGATCCTGCAAAGAAGAGATGAAAGTGGATTGTGTATGAAACAGTGACACTGTAAGTTTTTGAGTTTACAGATAATGATGCAGGAGATTCCTTATTATTCACAATTCAGAGCTACTACATCAACAAAATGCGTGTACCACCTGCTTACACGCAGTTTAAAAAGAGACCAAAACCACCTGCTTACACGCAGTATTAAAAGGAGACCAAATTACTCACACAAACCTAACGAGATCACACAGACCCCATGTGCATATACACACAATACAGACACACACACACTGCTCAATGGTAGAACCAGACCCACCCAGACACAAGACCAACCCCTCACGGTGAGTAAACATCTGGCCACAAATGGGTCATTCTTATTCTCACAAATCTCACTAATCCAACCTGGTTTTAGACTAACTTAGTTTAAGTTTTCATGGAATACTGAGACTGTGCTGGAGGCTGAAGGAGCCCAGGTCATTCTTATTCTGACAAATCTCACTAACCCAACCTGATGTTAGACTAAGTTAGTTTAAGTTTTCATGGAATACTGAGACTGTGCTGGAGGCTGAAGGAGCATAAACCATTTTCCCGGAGGCTCTAACAGTGAAACCTCTATGAATAAAACATGCAGTCACAATCAGCCCTTTCACATCAATCTAAGCCACTTGCTTAACCAACAGATTTGCTTTACCTGTTAATGGCAGAGTCTGTGCGAATAGTTGCAATGGGGGATCTCATGTTTTTCAAGTCCCAGACTTTCACCGTGCGGTCATCACTGCCTGAAACCACATTGTCTCCCACGGTGAACACAGCAGAGGTCACAGTGCTACGAGGAAAGGGGAGGGGGTCAGACACAACAGCAAAGATGCAGAGGCGACACCACACACTACACACACAACCCTGACTGGGGGTGGGAAGGAGGTCGGAGAGGCACAAGCTGCAAACCGTGTCTGCCTCCCAAAGCCGCTCCACCAGTGCACAAGAAGGACAGCTGATTCCTTCCCAGTGGATGAGGAATACACGGTCCATTCTACTCTACATCCCCCGGCAACGGAACAAAGAGAAGTGATAGAAAGTAGGGCTGGACAGAGCATGCCCAAATGTCTACATATCTGGGTCCACAGCAGAGAAT